TGTACCATTTATGCCAGGCAAATGGCAATGATTTCATTAAGTCTTTTCCCTTTACTGCTTAAGGTGGGAAAGAAGGTGTTGATGGGGGTGGTGGTAGCTGGCAAATATTTGTAACAAAAATATTTGACAACGTCCACCAAAGGTGGGCCCCCAGTCCCCCACTCCTGGAACACTCTTTCTCCTCACCTCTTCCTGGCAGAGTCCCTAGCGTATTTGAAGGCTTGGCTCAAATGCTCACTTCCTATAGGAGGCTTAGCCTTCATTCCCATCCCCATTGTTAATTCCCCCCCCCCATTGCCTTGTCTTTATTTGTATATTTTTATATTTACTTTTTGGGGTACATGTTTTCCCCCATTAGGGTGTTAGCTTTTTGAGAGGGCAGGGATGATTTTTGTATCTTTTATCATTTTATCTCAGGTGTCCAGAACAGTACCTAAAACACTGGAGTCACTTGAAATAAATGTTTGTTGAATGAATACATGAATGAATGAAGGGAAAAGAGAGAAAAACACCTCCCGCAGAAAGGCCATGGGTCAATTCTCTAAAGCAGAAGATGCTATGTGCATTCTTGGTGGCTTCCTGGCCTCTCTGTGACCTCTCAGCAGCACTGACCTCCCTCTGCTAATGAGGCAGTTCTCTCTTCTGGGCTGTGGAATTTTAATTTTCCACTAGTAGAAATGGGCTTGCACTGAGCTATCCTCATCCATCCATCCATCCATCCATCCATCCATTCCCTCATTCATTCATTCATTCATTCTCTCTGTCTGTCTGTCTCTGTGTATCTCTGTCTGTATCTCTGTCTCTCTCTTACTATTTACTGCTCTCTCTCTTTACTTTGCTTAAGACTACCCAGGGGCCGCTTGCAGATCAGGATTTCCTCTCTGGAGAGAGAGCTTGGCATGGTGGACATGGAGACAGAAAGACGAGTTCAAACCCTATCTCAGACACTTACCAGCTATGTGACCCTGGGAAAGTCCCTTAACGTCTTGGTACCTCAGTTTCCTCATCTGTAAAATGAGGTGGTTGGAGTAAGTGGCCTCTAGACCTATGGTCTGATCAGGCACCTGCTACCAAAATGTTCTTGACTCAGCCAACCCACGGGAAGCCCTAGGCACGTCCCCCTTTTTCCTGTGACAGCCCCGCTCTGCTGTCTGAGGAAGCGAGTGAGGTTTGGGGGTATCCAGCTAGCTCCCCCTCTAGATGTCAGCCTTGTCCTGAATACCGCGTTGTCTTCCTCAAGCAGAGCCCGCGGGGGAATCAGCTGCCTGACAGGGGGTCTGGCCTTGAAGTCACTTCTTCGATTGGAGAAGGGAAATCATCTGAGCTTTTAAAAAATTAAATGGACTCGGTAATTTGATTTCAGAGAGAACCTGAAAACCTCATAATGGGCAAGAGCAGTTCAATTCCGCGGTGAAAAGAAAAAAATACACACACAACAACACCCTAAATGGGGCTATTAGGCTCTGCCTGGGATGTGTTTGCCAAGAGAATGAGGAAGGAGGAAAGAAGGGACTGGGAAGGGGGGGGGAAGTCTTTGAGGTAGAAACAGTTTATCGGCCAAGACAAGGCTGATCATTTATTTATTTATTTATTTGATGTTTCGCGTGTAATTGACAACTGCTCTCTCCCTTGGCAGCGTTTCAAAACCGACTTCCCGTGATGGCCTGGGACTGGAGAGGGCTTGGGCTGTTGAGCATCTCCAAAGGGCCAGCCCTCCAGGCTGAAGGCGGTCGCTGCTGCTGCTGGGGGTGGGGAGTCCTCCTGAGGTCAAGAACACAGCAGGAGCCAGCCCTAGCTACCTGTCTATGATGAGGGATGGGGAATGGGGGGGGTGGCACCATCAGGGGCTCTCCTCTGGGAAGGGGGAAAGAGAGAAGAGGAAAACTCTGGACACAGATTCTCTGCCCCACCACCCCCTTTTTTAGCCACTGGGACCTGGTGTCACAGTTAGCCTGACCCTCACCCCACCCTGCCTTGTTGTTTGGAAGCCAGTTTGGCGTGTATTTTATTGAATCTCAGGGCTAGCCAGTCCAAAAGCTAAAGTGGAAATCCCCTGTGAATCATCCCTGAAAAATGGCCTCTACTGCTTGCTTTCTGGGTTTGCCAGTCACTGAACCTCTAGGGGCCTCAACTGTGAAATGAAGGGGCTGTACTAGACAGGCTCTGGAGTCCCTTCCAGGTCTGGTTGAGCTGGTCCTACACTCCTGCAACCTACGACCTCCAGGGAGGAGGAACCGAAGCCAAGCTGTCCCAAGTGTGGGCAATGCCAGTAGGACCTCTGGTCCTTCCAACAGAGCCTCAACTTTCTCTGTAATTCCAATGCACTGTTTCTAGTCTTACCCACTGGAACCAAAAATAAAACGTCAATTCTTTCTTCCTAACATCCCTTCAAATACTTGAAGGCAGTCAATACAATATGCCCCATCCTGCTTCCACTCTACCTTACAACTATCTCTTCTTCAGGCTAAATATCTGCAGTTCCTTCATCCTGATACAGCCTGGCCCACCTGCACCCTCTCCTGTGAGTGTCCTTCCTAAATGTGGAGCAGTGGAGTGATTACTGGACTTATCTGAGCTCAGTTCTACCTCAGACCATTACTAGCCATGTGGCCTTGGTCAAGTCAGTTAACCCCACTGGGCCTTAGTTTCTTCACCTATAAAATGGGCATGATAATAGCACCTGCCTCCCAGAGTCATTGTAAGGATCAAATGAGATAATATATGTAAGGCACTTTGCGAACCTTAAAGCCTTATATAAATGCTAGATATTATTCATGTTATTAGTGCTTGAAAGTGAGGCTCTCAGAACTGAGTAGTTCAGCTGTGGTCTGTTCTGGACTCTCATGATGTCTCTTTGAATGCAGCCTGAGACAATGCTGTTGTTTGGGTTGCTCTGTTCCTTAAGAGCCCAATTCCTTTTGGGGACTCATAAGTCTTATGAGCATGAGTATCAATATCCAGCTAGAGACAATAGCAAGGTAACAGGGATAGACCCAGCCCAGACAAAGAAATCTACCTTGGGTTGTGTGATTCATTCCTCGTTGGGTAATATATAACAAAGATATTATCTTTTCTTTCATGTTGCTAATGCCTGGTGTGACCTTGGGCAAGTGCCTTAACCTTTCTGGGCCTTAGTCTCCTTATCTGTAAGGGAAGGGAAGGAATAAGCATGTATTAAGTGCCTACTATGTTCCAGGCACTGTGTTTAATACTTCAGAAATATTTTCTCAGTGGAAGATTTAGTTTAGATGATCTCAAAGCTCCCTCCCTCCTCCCTAGTAGGTAATCTAGATGTCGGGGTCTTTCCAAATGGGTTTAAAGTCAGCCAGGCAATAAGCATTTATTAAATACCTGATGTATACCAGGCACCAACCATTGTTTAATTCCTCTTGAAATAGCTGCTGGTTGGTTAAATCCCTGGTTTTGATGGCCTAGGGGCAACATTTCATGAGGCAACGAGGTGAGATAATACACAGAGTGCTAGCTTTGGAGTCCAAAAAAGGCCCAAGTTCAAATCCAGCCTCAGACACATACTATCTGGGTGACTCTGGACAAGTCCTTTAACCTCTCATAGCACCTACATCCCAGGGCTGTTGTGAGGAGTAAATAAGATAACACACATAAAGTGTTTTGGAAACCTTAAAGGGAACCAGAAGTGGTGTCAGTGTTATTACCTTTCTGTCTCCTCATCAAATTCCTTGTGCCGGCATCTGTCTCGATCAGTCTAGATCTGCACCTGCTCGGCTGCACCTTCTAGTCGTGGAGAGTTACTTGGGACATTGAAGGCTGGGTGACAGCAAGATCTGTCAGTGGCTGGACTCGAACCCAGGGCTTCCTGGCTTCTGGTTCCAGTTCTCTATCCACTGTACCACGCATACATACATGTGTACATATGTATATGTATATCTATATAGCCATCTCATACATACACATCTCTCCTGTTAGAGCATAAGCTTCTTGAAGACTAGGATTGCTTCATTTCTGTCATTGCATCCCCAACTCCTGGCCCAATGGTTAGCACACAGTTCAGTTCAGCCGTTTCAGTTGTGTCCAACTCTTCATGAAGATAATAGAGTGCTTTTGCCATTTCCTTCTCCAGCTCATTTTACAGATGAGGAAACTGAGCCAAACATCTAGCAAGTGTCTAAGGTTAGATTTGAACTCAAGTCTTCCTGACTCCAGGCCTGGGCGCTCTATGCAGTATGCCACCACCTAGCTGCCCTTGGCATAATCAGCAGGATACAAATCTGCATGGGGAAAGCCCAATGCCTCATCAATGCCGGTGGCCTGGTGGACGCTTATGTGACAATGTCACAGAAGCGCGGTATCAGACAGGTAACCCAGGCTACCAGATCAAATCCATCCCTGAGCGGCCCCTCTCTGACTTCCCTGACAAGGGGTCATCTAGACCTCCACTGATGGGCACCTGCTGCCTCCTAGGGCAGCCCTGCCCACCGTAGGAAGGTGATAATTGTTATTCAATTTTTTTCCTGATATCAAGCCTCAGTATGCCACAGTGCAACTAAAGTTACAGTCTGCTCCCTTTTGTAACATACTTTAATGTTGGCCAAGTACTTCACATATATTATCTCTAGTCATTCTGACAACAGTCTTGTAAGGTACCTGATATTATTATATCCATTTTACAGGTGAGGAAACTGTGGTATGTTTAGAAGTGACTTACCCAAGGTCACACAGCTAGGAAGCTCTTGGGTGGCATTTGAACTCAGGTCTTCCTGACTCCAAGTCCAATACTGCTCCTTCTAGCTGCCTTTAGACGATCCAAAGAATTTGGTTAGAAGCAGGGGGTATGGGGGTGATGATTGAACAGCAGCAAACTCAGCCTGTTTGGTTTTTTTCCCCACTTAATAGTATTTTATTTTTTCTAATTAGATGTAAAGATAGTTTTTAGCATTCACTTGTATAAGATTTTGAGTTCCAAATTTTTCCCCCTCTCCCTTCCCCAAGATGGTATACAATCTGACATCATATTAAATATATTTCTGCACTGTTGTGTTGTGAAAGAAGAATCAGAGCAAAAGGGAAAAACCACAAAACGGAGCCTATTTGTACTGTGATTTCTCCTCCAATACTCTGAGCAATACTGCTGCTAATGACTATCGCTAGTGTGATCCCAGAAGCACTTGTTGGGGGTAAATGATACACTAGTGGACTGTGGGGAAAGGGTCTCCAGGCTCCATTGGGTTAGAAATGGATGGTGAAGCAGCTTCAGTAGCTTGTGAGAGGTACCATTCAGGATGCAGTGTCTAGGAAGGCCACGAACTGGATGTCCCAGGCGGCACTGACCCTGGTCCTTGGGTCCTGATGCCTTCAGAGCCCCTAGAGAGCTGCTCCCTGGTCCTCTTAGAGGATGCCACTGTAGATCTTCTGATGCCATCCAGGCCCCTCTTCCGAGGATCTGACAACTGTTTCTCTGGCAGCAATCTGGGGAGAAGGAGGAAAGGATGGACAGCTACTTGGCCAAAAGCCCCTTGACTTCTTAGCATGTGTCCTGTGGGGGAAGTAGGTCCATCAGTCTTTGGCCACTCTTGGTGAGTAATAGAGCTATCAGATACAATTTCTTCTAGAAATGAAGTATGTAAAATTCTCCTTTGGTTGGTATAGGCTACATCTCTCCAGGATAAGGGACTGTTACTCTGTGACTCAGCCTGCAGAACTGGCTGGTCTGCCTCTCCTGGTCCTGACAGGGGCAGATTTGTAACCAAGACCCCCTCAGTCCTATTTTGGAGAAAGTGAGGGCTCTGTGTTGTCACAATGATTTCTGACATGGGGAAGAATGCTCCCTGGAAATTTGCCACTTCCTGTTTCTGACTGAGACCATGATGGGTATCTGCCTTTCCTTCAGCAAAGGTGGTTTTCAAGTTCTTACCCGCCAGGTAATTGCCACCCTGGAGACCTGCACTAATCCAGCCACTCTCCCTCTGGGGGGTTCACATCTGTCTTTGTTCTGCTTCCCCTCATCAATCTTCTGAGCTGGTTGGAATGCTCTGGCAGCTCGGCCAAGTCCTGCCCAGGTCTCATTTCTCTGAGACCATCAGTTTGGGTAATAAATGCCTTTAGCAAATGCACCGGGGACCGTAAGTATTTTGTAGACCCAAAGGAGACCAACTGAGGCAGGGCAGGCAGTGAGAAGATCTGACCAGTTGGGGCTGGGAGGGTTTGCTGGAAGGCCTGGGAGTTAGCACCTGGGGTCACTGAAGGAGGTGTAGAATCATCCCAAAACATGACTGAAGTTGGCAACCAGGCCGTCCCTTCACTTGTGGGGTCCTTTATGCCTTGCTGATTCATCACTGCTCCAGGAACACTAGAAATGATGGAGTCCCCTCCAATCCCTACAGACACAGCCTGTGGCTTCATGATCAGCTCTTGCTTCTTCTTTGAAGAGGAGGTAGTGAAAGATAAGAGAAGATGGATGATGCTGCCTGAAAAGTTTTTGGAGAGGAGAGCAGTTGTTTCTCGGGGTCCTGGATGTCTCCTCGGGCTATCATCCCAACCTGCAGCCAAAGTAGAGGACATCTGCAGTAAGGCCTGGCCCCGCTGGTCTGCAGCTGATAGTTCAGGCACAACAGCTTGTGAAGTATCCTTTGGGATCTTTTCAGTGGCTTCTGGGGGCTTTTCACTTTCAGAGGATCCTCCATTTGGTGGGACAGTCATTGGAATCCCTGATGGTGTCCTTTTATCATGATTCGAGGCAAGAGAGTGAAGCCAGAGACCCGGCAGTGGAGTGGTAAGGGTGGCACCTGTAGATTGGTTCTCCTGGAAAGAAACAATGGCAGAAGTACTCGCTCTTAGAATTGGGCTACTTGAGTTTGAAGGAGCAGTGAGATTGCTTGGGGTCAAGCATCCCAAACCAGATGGGGACCTCGACCTGGCTGATTCTGAACACTCCTCAAGAGAATTGGAGAAGATGCTCAGCTGAAGACGTGTCATTGGGCTTGTGCCTACCGCTTGTCCGTGGTGCCTGCTGTCCAAGGCAAAACTCCCCAAAGGCTCTCTTTGCAGGTCTTCAGATGAAGGTGATCCCGCTGCTTGGAGAGAGAATGAAGAAGTCAGCTGCATGCCTACTGGAATAGATGGTGGCAGAGATGGAGAAGATGGTTGCAGTGAAGGCACAGTATTCAGGGTAGTCAATGGGAGTGGCAAGTCTGACTTCAACTCTTCTGTGCCTGGCACATAGTAAGCCTTTACATGTTTATTGATTGATGGGCTGACTTCTGCTGAAAAGGATTCAGGGTCTGTAACACCAGATGATGAAGGCTGGTCTTTGAAGGCTAGGGAAATAGGCATCGATAGAAAAAAGACAGTTCATTAAAATCAACTCCTCTTCCATCCTTGTGCATGGAGTTTGACACTCTATCACAGCACTACCTCTGTTACCCACTTGAATGAGATAACCTATGCAAAAGAGCTTTGCAAACCTTATCACGGCTATATAAATGCTAATTATCACCTGTGTGACCTTGGGCAAATCATTCACCTCTCTGACTCCCAGCTTCTTCATCTATAAAATAGAATCCAACTAGATGGTCTCTGAGGTCCCTTCCAGACCTAGATCAGGGGTTCTTTATCTTTTTGGTGTGTGTATCTGGACCGCTTGGGCAGTTTGGTGAAGCCTGTGGGCTCCTTCTGAGAATCATGTTTTTCAATGTACAAAATAAAATACAGAGGACTACAGAGGAAACCAATTATGTTGAAATACAGTTCTCTAACTACACATTTTAAAAAACGAGATCAGGGCCCCCAAGTTAAGAACCTCTGCTTTGGAACTATGATCCACCCGTATTGTGAATATAGATACTCTCTCCCCCAGTGCAGGTCAGTTATAGCCCTGCAATTGATGAACTTGGAGGGCTGCCCAAGGCTCTGAGAAGTTCAACGATTTTCTCAGGATCACAATGGAGCCAATATATGTCAAAGGCAGGACTGGAGCCCAGTTTAATTGACATTTATATAGTGCTTTTGAGGTTGGAAAGTGCTTCAGCCATTAACTCCTTGATTTTCACAATCAACCTGTGAGCTGAGTATACATTGGTATCATTGTCCCCATTTTCCAGATGAGGAAACTGGTGTTCACAGAAACAGAAAGCCTTTCCCATAGCTGTACAGCTGACGTGTGTGATAAGAAGTATTGGAACCCTGGTCTTTTTGACGCAGCCTGGGTTTGGAATCAGAGGACCTACATCTTGGTTGTGCCAGTTAATACATATATGATATTGGGCAAGCCTAATCATCTCACTGAGCCTTGGATTCCCCTTCTGTAAAATCAGAGGTCACATCAGATGCCCTAAAAACTGCTCTATCCAGCTGTAAATCTATGATCCTAGAAACAATGATGACAAAAACTACCACTTTAAAGTTCCCCAAAATGCTTACTCCCCCAACAACCCCATTAGATAGGTAGTATAATTTATAGATGGAGAAACTGGGGTTCAGAGAGATTAAGTGATCTACCTGCCCACGGTCACATAGCTAGTAAGAGTCAGAATTGGGATTCAAACCCAGTTCTTTGGCATTCTAGCAGAATACAAGCACTTTGAGGGGAAGGACTATTTGTCAGTTCTTGTCTCATAGCTCAGTCCTCAGCACATAGCAAGTCCTTCATCAATGCTTGTCTAATTGAATTGAAGATAAGCTCTCTTTCCACTGGACCATATCTGACTTGAATAGAATTCTGGACTTAGAATCAAGGCCTGGATTCAAATCTGGCCTCAGATGTGTGACCCTGGGCAAGTCACTCTGACTTAGTTTCCTCAACTGTTAAATGAGGATAATTATAGCACCTGTTTTCCAGGGTTGTTGCAAGAATCAGAGATAATCTTTAGAAAGTACTTTGCAAACCTTAAACCATAACATAAAAGCTGGCCATCAGAAATGTTTAATTATCTGCCTATAGTCAAATAACACTCAAGTGTCAGAGGCAGGATTTGACCCCAGATCTCTCCAGACTTGGGATCCAGCATTTCAGAAATTTTAGAATTTAGAGGAGCCTGAAATTCAGAGGGGTTATGTAACTTGCCCACGGTCACACAGCCAGTAAGTGTCAAAGGCAGGATGTGAACCCAGAACTCTGCAAACACTCTATCCCTTGTACCCCACTCACTCTAGGTGGAAATATTACTTGACTGAAAAGATGAGAATGAGTTTATTTTCCTACATGCACATTTCGAGAGACACACAAATCTTTCTAAAGTCTGTTTTGCTCGTTGTATTGATTTTGGCATTGCATTCAGTACTGGCTACAAAGCCATGATGAGCATTTTCCCTTTAGTCAGGGGGAAAATGCCAAAGCATTCTCGGGCTTCTATTTTCTAAGAAGGAAGAAAAAGCCCCACCATAAGCCCAGTGCTTTTGGAACTACTATGAATCTTACAGGGAAATGTAAAAAAGAGGGCCAAAATCAGCTCCTGAAATGTGTCAAGTTGCAAGAGAAATCTTTCTATTTGGGGCAGGGCTTTAGAACCTCCTCCTAATTCCCCGTTCCCATGGGGCTTTCCTTTTAAAATCTAAATTTCGGGTCTAGATGTGGAAGGCAATTCCCCTTTAATCTTTCAATATGGTTCTGAATATAATTACAATTTTTTTTTCTGCAGCACTGAAACATCATATCCTGGCAACCAGGGCATTCCTGTGCCCCAAACATCTGAGTCAAATATCCTTCACGGTCTGCCTTCTATGGAGGACAGTGAGGAGCCAGGAGATGAAAGTGGCCGCAGCGTTTGTGAATTAGGTACATTTCCTCCCCAAAGATTTTAATAGGTTTTGCTTCTGGTGGTTTTGCATGTGGTGATACCAGGTTGCTGGGAAGCTGGGTCATGGCAGGGCAAATCTTCTCCCATCCGTTCGCTCTTCTACATATACTGGGCCACTGCTCTAGCTCAGGCCCTCATCATCTCTGCCCAGGACCTTCGCAGTAGCCTCCTCATTGGACTTCCCACTTCCAGGCTCTCCTCTCCTACCCATCTTCCAGACTGCTGCCAAAATGATTCTCTCAAGAAAGACACAAGTGCCGTTCTCCTGGTCAAAATATCTTCAGTGGCTCCCCATTGCCTCTAGGATGGGTGTCCATGAATTTGGATAGATAGATGGATAGATAGAGGAGAGAGAGAGAGAGAGATGTAGATAGAGAAACAAGTACATAGAGAGATAGAGATAGATAGATAGAGTAAATAGACAGAAAGACAGATAGAGAGATAGATGGATAGATGGATGGATGGATAGATGGAGTAGATAGAGATAGAAGTTACAGAGAAAAGATGGTAGATGATAGAGATAAATGATAGATGATAGAAAGATAGAGATAAATATGAGAAAATAGAAGAGTTAGAGATGATAGAGATAAAAGATAGTAGAATAAGAGAGATAGAGATGATACATAGACAAAGATAAATGATAGATGGTAGAAAGATCAAGACAAATATAGAAGGGTAGATGAAGAGTTAGATAGAGATAAATGATAGCTGGATGATAGAAAGATAAAGTAGGGTAAGTAGAAGAGGTAGAGATAGAAATGATAAATGATAGAAAGATAGATAGAAGAGGATAGATAGGTAGGTAGATAGTCTGTCTATAGACAGACATAGAGAGATAGCTATATTTTAAAACAATGGGTTTCCTTTGTGATCCTATGTACTTTATTTGAAGCATCATTCTGAGAAAGGGTCAGGGGGCTCCACCAGTATGCCCACAGGATCCATGACACAGAGAAAGTGCAGAATCCTTGATCTGAAATAAGATATAAACCCCTCAGCCTGGCACTGACAGTCCCCACAGTCTGGCTCCAATTCACTTTTCCCTACTTATTTCATGGTGCTTCCCTTCATGTCTTCTACATTCTAGCCAAACTGGCCTGCTAGCTATTACCCAAATTCCACATGCTAGGTTCATTTCCAAGCCTGGAAAAGCACTCACCTCTTCCTCTCAGAATCCATAAAATCACAGATTTAGAGCTGGAAGGGACTTCAGACTTTATCTAATCCAGACCTGCCCCTATATTTTAGAGATGAGCAAATGGAAGCCTAGAGAGGCTATGACTGGCTCAAGGTCAAGCCTAATGAGTGTCTGAGGCTCAATTTAACAAATACTACATAGGTGCCTCCTATGAGACAAGAGTGCTAAATGCTGGGACAAAAGACAAAAATAAACAATGCATGTACTGGAGGAAAGATATACCTCCGAGCCCCCATTAGAAGGAAAGCTTACTGTTCTTTTCACCAGCTAGTGAACCAACCTCTTCTGTCAGATAGCGAACCTGCCCCACAGGAAAGGAAGTCTCAGAGACACCATATCCTGGCTGAAAGGAAATTCTAAGAATCACTAATTTCCTTCAAAGCAAGCCTTTTCTACTTCCTCCCAGATATTAATTCTCTCTCTCTCTCTCTCTCTCTCTCTCTCTCTCTCTCTCTCTCTCTCTCTCTCTCTCTCTCTCTCTCTCTCTTTCTCTCTCTTCCTCCCTCCCTCCCTCCCTCTTTCTTTCTCCCTTTCCCTCCCTCCTCCTCCCCATCTCTTCCTCTCTCCCCCTCCCTCTCCCTCTCTCTTTCTTGAAATTATTTGAACATATTTTCTGTTACTTTATAAATACTCATCTTTACTAATCTAAGCATAGGTTGTATCTACCCCCAACAGATTGGAAACTGCCTGAGGGCAAGGACTGTTTTGTTTTTGCCTTTATATCCCCATCACCCAGGGCAGTACTTGGCATACAGTTAGTGCTTGATAAATATTGAATTGCACTGAATCGAAGTGGTCTCAGAGGTCCTGTGCAAAGAACATCAGTAGTATCTTACTTACCAGCACAATGGAAAAAATTCTCCACTGTCCAGTGGATTGGACCAGTCACTTCTGCAAACTCCAGGCTGAGGTCTATCCTATAAAATGGTTGCATCCTGGTGACTCCTTGGGCTTCCTGGCACTGCCGAAGGGACATGAGGTAACCTCTGTCATATGGTTGCATAGTTAGCTTTTATGCAGCCACAAATATTATCTTATTTTATCCTCACAACAACCCTGGGAGGTGGGTGCTGTTAGTATCCCCAGCTTTACAGATGAGGAAACTGAGGATGTGAGAGATGAAGTGACTTGCCCAGGGTCACAGATAGAAAGTATCTGAGTTTCTTTGATGCCAGGTTCATTGTCCTATACGCTGTACCATCTAACTACCCGATGTATAGAAGGGACACAAGAGGTTGGGGAGGAAGCTAAGTGGCACAGAAGATAAAGCCTGGAACTTGGAGTCAGGAAAACCTGACTTTGAATACTACCATAGACACTTATTACCTCTAGACCCTGGGCAAATTGTTTTACCTCTCACAGCCTCAGTTTTCCTATCTGTAAAATGGGGATAATAATATCGCTTACTTCTAGAGTTGCTGTGAGAATCTGCAAATCTTAAAGCACCACATACCTTCTAGTTATTACTATTATTATTAATAATTTTAGCATTAAATACCCTTGAACCTCTACCTTCCACCTAGCCATATTCCAAGCTCTAGCTCTGAATTGTGGAATATGCAAACTATGTATATCTCTAGCAAAACCTGTGGTCATTCTCTTACTTTAAAAAAAAAAAGGAGGTTCTTGAGGGAAGCTATTATTTTGGTTTGTAATCTCAGCACTTAGCACATAGCTTTGAACACAAAATTTATAATAATATATATGTAGAACTCAAATAAGAAGCAGCTAGGTAGCTCAATAAATAGGGTGCTGGACCTGGTGACCATGGGGTTTTCTTGGCAAAGATACCAGAGTGGTTTGCCATTTCCTCCTCCAGTTCATTTTACAAATGAGGAAACTGAGGCAAACAGGGTTAAGTGACTTGCCCAGGGTCACACAACTAGTAAGTGTCTGAGGCAGAATTTGAACTCAGGTCTTCCTGACTCTAGGCCCAGTGTTCTATACATGGTGCCACTAGCTGCCCATATAGTGTGTGTGTGCGCGCACATGTGCATGTGAGCACACGCATGTATCTTCTATATATCTATTACACTTAACTAGAGAAATTAAAAGCCACACAGGTTACTAAATTAAAAAAAACTAGAATGTGCTCCTAGTTAGATTCTAGTATTCTTTCAATTATACTTTGCTACCTGGTTCAGATGAATGAATGAGTGAGTGAGTGAGTAAAAAACATTTATAAAGTGCTTACCAGATGTCAAGCACTATGCTTGGGGTATTTGTGGAAGAATGAGCCCTGGTGTATGTGGTATATGTTTTATTACTAACTTTCTTACTACAGTATTTCAGTAAATGCCCTTGCTTTAAGCTAATTGCATCATCTGGCTCTCTGTTAAGAGAAAACACATTGGTGGGGGCTCATAATCTATAGTTTTTAGGGAGGCAGTTCTACGGAAGTCATTCTCTAGATAGTGTGTCCTGTGAGGTGGGAGGGAATACATTGTGGGATACGTGGCAAAATCTAGCTTGAAAATTTCTAAGCTAGAGCTGGGGTTCCCTTTCACTGACCTGGCTCTGGAGCACATCGCTGGCTGGGATGCTGACCACAACAAAGTCTCTGTTTTCAGTGATTGTGAAGCTGTTTGACTGGCTGACTCGGAGATCTCTCAGGGTCAGCGCTTCTGTGTATCTGGATCTTCTTTTCACTAGCCCTAGTCCCTGTTTGGGGATTTGAACCAGGACTTCTGGGCCTGGCTGAGATGAGACTGTGACAGAAAAAAAACCATGAAGCATAATCAAGGGTAAACTCCCACAGCTGAATAAAGCCATCCCCACCACCAGCATCTTAATTGACAGCCCGAACTTCTGGCTGGGCCAGCACACCTTCCTAGGGAGAATTCTGAGACTGTTTTGTGCTCTCTTATAATTAGTCTGTGCTGAACTAGGCCGAACCAATACTTAAGAGATGAAGGTCACCCTTATTCAACGGGTCCCATGTGGAACTTATGTAAACAGAGAAAGTTTGCAGATGTTGCATTCAGGGCAAAGTTGTCAAATAGGCGAAGTCTTCTGCCAGGTTTTCTCCTGTCGCCTACCTCCTATCAAATGTTGCTCTCAAGGAAACGATGGGGTTGCAAGCATTAGCACTTTCCAGTGGATTTAGAGTGAGAGACCTGGGTTTGAATCTCAGATCTGCCACCTGGATTCATAGCTTTTAGCAGTGGAAGTTACCTTAGTGATCTCATTTTACAGATGAAGAAACTGAGACCCTATGGGGGGAAGTCAAGTCAACAAGCATTTATTAATGCAAATACACACAAGAGAGTCAAGATTTGGATCCAGGTCTGCTGGTGAGGACAAGATGGCAGAGGCATGGTTCTATAGTAGTTTGCCTAAATAAGATCTGGGGGTGTTACTGGACTTTAAGCTCAATAGGGGTCAATAGTGTGCCATAGTAGTCAAGAAATGTAATGCCATCAGCTCCTAAGGGAGGTAAAGAGAAGGAAATAGGCATTTTATAGCACCTACTATGTGCCAGGCCCTTTTGCAAATATTATTTCATTTGATCCTCACAAACAACCCTGCAAGGTCATCTTCATTTTACAGTCAAGGAAACCAAGGCAGACGAGTGATTTGCCTAGAGCCATAGAGCCAGGAAGTATCTGAGTCTGGATTTGAATTCAGGTCTGCCTGACTCCAACCTCAGTGCTCTGATGGCAAAGACAGAATCCTTTCCACTATGCTATGCTGTCTTCCATGATCAGTGTAAACAAACAAGCAAATTTTCTAACCATGATAGCCATCCAAGAGTGATTGACTGGAGAGGTAGTGTTCCTAAAGGTCTTCAAATAAAGGCTGGATGACCCCTTGCCAGTGTAGTTGTAGAGGGGATTTTTTCCAGCATGCGTTGGACTCAATGACCTCTGGGGGTTCCCAACTCAGAGCCTCTGGAATTCCCCAATTCCAGATTCAATGCTCTCTCCATGCCCAGAAGTATCTACATTTCAAGCCGGATATTTTGTTTCTCAGTGTAAGCCTGTGCCTTTTGTTAAAGGCATCACTGAACAAAATTGAGGGTGATTGGGGACACAGGTAACCACTTGTGGTTACCATATCCACCTCCCCAAGACTTAGAAGATCATAGATCTAAAGTGGGAAGGAACCTTAATGATAACCAAATCCAACTTCTTGTACTACAGATGTAGAAACTGAGGTTCACAGAAGCTAAGTGACTCAGAGTTACTCAAGTGGTAAGTAGCAGAGTTTGGAATTTGAATCCAGGTCTTGAATCGACCTGACGACTTAAATTGAATAAAAAACAATTTATTAAGAATCTGCTATGTACCAACCACTGTGCTAGGCAATGAAGATATTCAACGTGTCCAAAACTGAACTCCCCAAACCCTCCCCATTTCCCTCTTATATTGTCAAGGGCAGCACTGTCCTCCCAGTCACCAGGGTCCCAAGCTAGGTGTCTTCCTCGACTCCTCACTGTCTCTCACTCCCGTGGCCAATCTGTTGCCAACTTAGGTCAATTTTATCTTCATGATGTCTCTTGTATATTGCCCCTTCTCTTTTCTAACACTCCCCCTGCCCTGGGGTTAACCCAGATCTCCTCATACTTAGATTATGGAAATGGCGGGCTAGTTGACCTCTCCCCATTCCAGTCAATCCTCCATACAGTTGTGACATTGATCTTCCTAAAGGTTTAACAATGTCACACACACACACACACACACACACACGCACACATACCGGTTCAACCAATACCAGTTAACTCCCTATTGCCTCCAGGATTGAATGGAAAATCTTTTGGTGGACTTCCAATGCCCAGCCTAACCTTTCCTACTCTTTCCAGGTCTTCTTACACCTTAAGGACACCCCACATCAAGTGCTCTGATCCATCAATACTCACCTTCTTTGTTGTTCCTTTAACAAACCACTCCATTCTGTGTGACCCTGGGCAAGTCACTTAACCCTGATTGCCTCAGCAAAAACAAACAAAAAAACAAAAACAAAAACAAACAAGCCACTCCATCCTCTGACACTAGGGTGCCTTCAGGGCCCCTGGAACTCCCACCCTCCCTCACCTCTGCCTTCTGCCTTCCCCAGCTTTCTTCAAGTCTCAGCTAAAATCCATCCTTTTTCAAGAGGCCTTTCCCAGTCCCCCTTAAAGTGAATGCCTTTCCTCTTCTGATTATTTCTAATCTATCCTGTATCTATCTTGTATGTACATAGTTATTTGCATGTTGTCTTCCTCACGAGACTGTGAGCTCCTTCCTTGACAGCAGTATCTGTCCTTTGTCTTTCTTTGTAACTCTAGTGCCTAGCACACAGTAAGTACTTAATAAATGCTTGTTTCTTTGACTTTTTTGTTGTTCAGTTATTTCACTCGTGTCTGATGCATTGTGACCCCATTTGGGGCTTTCTTGGCAGAGATACTGGAGTGATTTGCCATTTCTTTCTCCAGTTCATTTTACAGATGAGGAAACTGAGGCAAAGAAGGTAAAGTGATTTGCCCAGGGTCACATAGCTAGTAAGGGTCTGAAGCCAGATTTGAATTCAGGAAGATGAGTCATCCTGTCTTCAGATCTGGTGTTCTATCCACTATGCCACCCAGCTGCCCTTGGATTCCACCAGACTGACCAAAGCAGCTGAGAAATACAGTCTAGATATTTTGTCTTGCAGCCCCACCCTACCCCATATGAAAGCAAAAAAGAGATAGGAGCGCAAGAATTAGAGATCCCTTTTCAGAGACCCTCAGGTTTTTTCCTGAGGCCTGGTTGGTCTCTTGAGCTAAGAGTAAGCAGGTGTCAGGGAGGGGTGGGAAAAGAAAGAGATACTCATCAGAAGGAGTGGGGCAAGGAAGCAAGAAAACATGAGGATATTGAGTGGATTAGAGGGAGCAAGGATTGGGGACCGACCCTTACCCAGGGGACACATCGCTTCCAGGGAATAGGCATAATATCCGCTGACCATCCAGAGGGACAAAAAATCCACACTTGTGTTCATCACCTGTCAAGTCATGAGAGATTCGTGTCTCTCATGATCTCAAAAATGACACCCTTTTCACACAACCAGCTCCCTCCATAACCAGCCCCACATCCCCCAAGTCAAGGTCCCTGGAAGAAGTCCCTCCACACGTCCAGAAACTGGGGTCCATAATTCTTGCTGTGACTTCGCCAGGAGATATTATCTAGCCAGGATATTTATAGCAGGAATATCACTCTAAGCAAATGTCACGTGAATATTCTTCCCTTACACTGTAACTTTGGGCTATTTCAGGAGATGGTAATTATGTGCCTGCCGCTGTGATCAGGATGAACGGAATCCATGATTACAGCACACTATAATCTCCCAAGGAGAGGACGAAACAATAATGGGGTCCCCACTTTCACATCTGGGCACCTACATCAGACCAGTCCCAGGTCTGGACATTTAAACCCTTGTGGGGAAGCAGGCAAATGCTAGTCAGTTCTCAGCAGAAAGGTAGCAAGAGCACAGGGACAAAATATTCAATTTGGGGTGAGCAATGGGGCTCCACACTTGAGATTTCGCTCCTTCCACTGATGCTGGCCAGCAAATCTTCTCTCGTTTATAATCTTAGAGCATCAGGGCAGCTAGATGGCACAGTGGATAGAGCACTGGCCCTAGATTCAGGAAGATCTGAGTTCAAATATGGCCTCAGACACTTGATCCTCACTAGCTGTGGGACCCTGGGCAAGTCACTTAACCCCATTGCCTAGCCAATAAATAAATATAGTCTCAGAGCTTCACCTGAGGCAGAGACTACATCTGACTACAAAACTCCCCTGCTCAAGGAGTTTCACTGGTTCCCTATTACCTCAAGGATAAAAATTTTTAAAATCACCAATTTGACATTTAAATCCCGTTACAATCTGTCTCCAACCCATTTTTCTGTTTGATTTCACATTACCCCTCCTTAAGGCACCCTACTTTTCAGCCAAATTGATCTCCTTGCTGTTCTTTATATGTAACACCCCATTTCCTTCCTCCACGCCTTTGTAAAGGTGGTCCCCCACGCTGGGAATGCCCTCCCTCCTCACCTCTGCCTCTTGAAATCTCGAGTTACTTTCAAAGCTCAGCTCAAGAGCTTCCTGCTGCCAGATACATTTCATGATTCCCTCCCTCTCCATTGTTAGTGTTTCCCCCCACACACCTCATTTTACAGTTCCTTTTACAGTTACAGTATATATTATTTTCTATGTATATATTTTGTGCTCCCCCCTCCTAGTGGAATGGAGCCCACTTGAAGACAAGTATTAATTTGTTTCCATCTTCCTCAGTCTCTGGCACAATGCCTTGAAGATTTTAGGAATCCAATACCTGTTGAATTGAATTGAGTATGGATGGGATCCCAGGTAGGACTCCGAATGAGGTTTTCCCAACTCCATGGTCAGCCAGGCTACCTCTCCCTCCCCCCCCCCCCCCCCGCCTTTGTTTGGGGATGGGGGTGGGGTGGAGAGTAGTTCTGAACCTGTGATCTCATCAGCATAGGGAACTTCTGGTGTGGAGATTTACTCCACCTGTGTAATTTAGCATCTGAGAGCTTAGGGAGTTAAATGACTTGCCCAGGGACACACAGCCAGTATTTGTCAAAGGCAGGACTATCAGACTTGGGTAGCTTAGTAAATGAGGGCCCCTTGCCTAGCATCCATTAGGCACACAGTAAATGTTTGTTGACCGACTGGCTAGCTTTGTTACCAGGAGGGCTTGAGGGACTATGGTTAGGGGGCAGGAGCGGACAATCATAAAAGAACTCTGATTTTTTTCTTTTAAACAGACATTCATAAAATATTTAAGAATCAAAAATTGAAATGCCACATTTCAGAGGCCACTTTTTCAAAAGTCTTAGGAGCAGAGGTTTAGAAGGACTTTGAAGCCACCTAGCCCACCCTGCCCCTCATCTTACAGTCAGAGAAACAGAGCCCCAAAGAATTAAGTGATTTGTCCAAGGTCCTTTGTCTGATGATTGCCCAAGAAAGGATTCAAACACAGAGCCACTAGTCCCCAAGCCCAGTGTTGTAGCCCCCACACTTGAGGAAATAATTGTCATCAAATTATTCATTTGCTCATCACTTACCTCCTTCCTTTGCAGAAGCTGCTGCCTTGAGCCCAAGATGGTGATGGTAGTGGTGTTCGTTTCTACATATAAACCCAAAAGACTGGCATCTTCCAGTGAAGCCACCAGCTCACCTCGGAGAGACAGAAGCCAGGGCCTCTGGACAAATGAGACAAACTCCCAGAAAACTCTCTCTTACTGGAGATCCTGCCAACTTGGGGCAGGGGGGGCGGTGTGTCACTCTCCCAGGCAGGAAAGTAGCAGGAAATCTCTACAGAGGAGAGCCTGCTCCTGGATGGAGCAGGCTGTGAAGTCACTGCTCTCTGGGCTATGGGAATGGGGAAGGGGGTTATGGTAGCAAGAAAGGGGGGAGGGTCGTCAGATGGACCAACTGAGCAGTAAGAACACACAATTGGCAGGGGGTGGCAGGGGGTGGCAGGGAGTGCAGGGACCTCTAGTTGAAGGAGGAGGCCAGAAATCCCCGGCCCATACATCAGCTGAGTTAGGGGTTGATCTTGATGTGAATCAGCTATGCAGTTCAAGGGGCTTGGACCCCTCAGGGACACCGAGGCAAAAGAGAGCTGAAGGGCGAGAGATGAAGGTTCCCTGCAGAAAAGAATCCTTCCAGACTGCACCTTAATAATAATTTATAGCTGACATTTACATGACCCTTTAAAGTTCACTCACCATTCGGGCCTCACAAATAGCCCTGGGAGAGGGATTGTTGATTGGGGACCGGGGAACAGGGTCCCCCAAAGCTCTAATTTCATTAAAGATGGGGCCTTGCATCACCCTGCCTGGACAGCTCATTTGTAACTTACAGTTACCTGGGATATAAACAAGTTAAATGACTCACCCAGAGTCACGAAGGCAGTATTTGTCAAAGACAAGCAGGACTCGGGAAGACTTAGGGCAGTATTCTGCTTTTGTTACTGCCATAGCCCAGGTCTTCCTGCCTCCAAAAGTGGCCCTGAAACTCCTGCCACCCTGTCTTCACAACTCTGCTCCTTGGGATGCTGAGATTCAGGGACTTGCCCTTCTTTAGACAGTTATCAGGACCTCAGCCTCCCCATTGTATAGCTGAAGAAACTGAGGCCCAAGGAAGGCTATGACTTGCCCAAGGTCACAAAAGTAATAAGCATGAGAGGTGAGATTTAAAGGTAACTAGGTCACGCAGTACACGCCAATGGATTTGGAGACAGGAAGACCTGGGTTCGAATCCTGCCTTAGATAGTTATTAGCTGGTGACTCTGGGCAAATCACAAGAACTCAATCAGCTGAAGTTTTCCTCTTCTGTAAAATGGGGATGATAACAGTACCTACCTCACAGGTGTATTGTGATTAGCAAATGAAATAATATGTAAAGTGTTTTTAAAACCTTAGTATTATCTCAATGTGAGTTATTGCTGTTATTACTACTATTTGAATCTAGGTACTCTGACTCTAAGCCTCTCACTTTGCCCAGTGGACCATAATGTGGTCGAGGTAGACCCTATCCCTGGGTCTTCTTGATTCCAAAGCTGGCCCTGTATCCCGCTGACTCTTCTAGGTAGCGGCTACTGATACCCCCATTTTATAGACAGGATTGACTTGGCCAAGAGCCGGTAGCTAGAGAGTGTTGGAGGTAGAATTTGAATCCAGGTCCCTGATTCCAAGCCCTCTTCTCCCTGTATTTACTCTGCCTCCTTCTCTCCTCCACCCTTTGCCTTAGGTCACAGAATCCGTGTTGGAAGGGCCAGGACAGAGTCGTTCTAACCTTCTACCCAGCCCCATTCAGGAACATTTTCCCCAACATCCCTGGAGAGCTTTTATCCAGCCCCCTGGTCTGAACCAGCTGTCACAGTCCTTTGATGTCCTTTGGGTGGGCAGAAGGAGAGAAAAGAATTGACCACTCATTTACATTCTGTTACCAGATCATTCTCACAGCTAAGGGGACAAGGAAATGCGCTCAAGACAGACACCAGAGACCAAGGCAGGTGCCCGGGTATGTTTCCGGCTAAAGAAAGCCACAGAACACCAGGCAGGAAGAGGCCTGCAAGATGTTTTTGTAGAATCCAAAGGGGAAAAAAGAATGCCTCACCTACCTGTCCGCTGGCACTTCCCTGGGGTATGGGCCGAGAAACCTGCAGAAAAAAAGGAGAGAACCTTCGTTTCTCCAGCAAGCAGTAAGCAAAGGTGAGTGAGTAACCGTTTTTTACCCAAACATCTAAAAGCTGGCAATTAGCGCAGCAGGGGGCCAGACAAGAGAGGAAGGTTTCAGCCCAGGATGTTGGCTCATTAAGACAAGAAAGTCATTTATGTTGGGGACCGAAGTGTCAACATTCTTAGCAACAGACCCAGGGAGATGTCTCTAGCTGCCTGGGCATGTCAGAAGCCTCAGGTGCTCAAGCTGGCTTCACTGGAGGGGAACCGAGGGCCGTGGGGGGTGGGGGGCTGTGGCAGGGATCTGGGAGCAGCCACAAGGAGAGCGGTCAGGAGCCTGGGGGGATTTAAGGTGGAGAGGAATGCTGGAAGGACTGAAAACAGAAAGTAAAAGTTGTAGGTGCCGTATAATCAGGACCAAAAAGTTTTCTGTGGAATATAGCAGGTTTTAATCTAAAGTCTCTCCCTAAGGTTCTCCCTTCACTCCTAAAATCTCCCATCCGTAAACACTCCATCAATTCTTCCTGCTTTCCTTTCTATTTTAGGTCACACTTCCTCTAGGCATGGGTTTTCCCATGGCTCCCATCTCTCTCTTCTGTCCCCCATTCCTGAATGTATTCATTCATTCCCCACCTTCCCCACTTGGAAGCACTCACTTGGTATCAAGGCTCAGGTGCCTCCTCGTCCAGGAGGCCTTTCCTGATTTTCCATTCTCCCTTGTGAAAGTACAAGGTTGGAAGTGGGATTACAGATTTGGGATTTCATCACCAGTGTGGTGGTACCCTCCACTACCTCATGTCACAAATTAATCTATAACCTAATGATCTTAGAGTTGCTATTCATGACATAGAGTTTGTGTTTCCTTCTCTGTATGTCTAGTGTATGTCTCCCTGCCCCTCCCCCATTAAAATGTAAGCTTCTATAGGACAGGGAGGATTTGGGTTTTGTCTTTGAATCCTTTGCATCTTTGATTCATTTATAACATAGGAAGTTACTTGAGATAAAGATAGAAAGACAGAGAGAGAGAGAGAGAGAGAGAGAGAGAGAGAGAGAGAGAGAGAGAGAGAGAGAGAGAGAGAGAGAAATTGATTTGACATGAAGAAGAAGACTCGGCTTAGGGATTTGCCTAAGGTCACATAAAAAATAAATACTAGGGGCAGCTAGGTGTCACAGTGGATAGAGTAACTGGCCCTGTGTGATCTTGGGCAAGTCATTTAACTGTGATGAAAGAAAGAAAGAAAGAAAGAAGAAAGAAAGAAAGAAAGAAAGAAAGAAAGAAAGAAGAAAGAAAGAGAGAAAGAAAGAGAGAAAGAAAGAGAGAAAGAAAGAGAGAAAGAAAGAGAGAGAGAAAGAGAGAGAGAAAGGGAGAGAGAGAGAGAGAGAGAGAGAAAGAGAAAGGAAGGAAGGAAGGAAGGAAGAAAGGAAGGAAGGAAGGAAGGAAGGAAGGAAGGAAGGAAGGAAGGAAGGAAGAAAGAAAGAAAGAAAGAAAGAAAGAAAGAAAGAAAGAAAGAAAGAAAGAAAGAAAGAAAGAAAGAAAGAAAGAAAGAAAGAAAGAAAGAAAGAAAATGAAAGATCAAAGGCAGGATTTGTACCAAGATCCTCTGACTTCAGAGCTGGTGTTTTTTCTGCTGTCAAGGTTTTTGGACTCCAAAGCTCATTTAGTCCTGACTTGCTTTTGTAGCTTCCCTTTTTTGAGAAAAAAGCCCTTCTCCATGGCCACTACTGCCAGGAAGCAGGAGCCCTCCTTGTGCTCAGCTCTTGCCTCATTTTCTTCCTTGAGTGTCTGACTTTGGAGTCAGGAGACTTTAACTGGAATCTTGGTTCCACTATTTAGTAGCAGCATAACCTTGGATATATGAATTCATTTCTCTGGGCCTCAGTTTCCACATCTGTAAAATGAGACTGGCTGGTCTTGAACTCAAATAGAAATTGATCCCTGCAGGCCATATATTGACTTAGAAAACCACAAATTAGAATTATCTATGTTGCATTGTATTTTTATTTGTTAAAACATTTCCCAATTACATTTTAATCAGGTTCTGGCTGGGCAAGGGTGTTTTGCAGCCTCTTGCAGCATGCAGGGCTGTGAGTCTGGTACCTTGGAGATTACCTGTAAGGTCCCTTCCAGTTCCTACTAGTTCCTATGATCCCATCCTTGAATATTTTTCAATAAATTAATCAAGAAGCATTTATTACTCATCTACCATGTGCCCGGCATTGTGCTGGGTGCTGGGGGTCCAAAGAAGTAAATGGAAAAAGAAACTCTGCCCTCAGAGAGCTTGCTTTCTCCAGTGGGGAGACTGCCTGTCTCCAATCTAATCAAGATCTTTCTGGAATCTTAGCCTGAGAAGAAAGGTAAGAAAGACTCCATTGGCTGGTGTATGGGAAAGCAAGATGCCGCCAATATTTTTTAAGCTTCCAAATCCTTGTCTGACTTATTCCCAGCTTCAAATTGCTTTGCTTTGATTTGGGGGAGGGGGAGGGGAGGGAAGAGGAGGAAATGAGATTACAGACTGAGGTTGGATTTTAGGAGGAGGGGAGAGAAATTCTAAAGAAGAAGATGGGGAAGAAAGCATTTCTAAATACCCAGAGACAAACACTCAGGGTTCTTTAAATGTCTGCAGCTGAATCCTTGAGTACAAGGTTATATTTAGGTGCCTGTGGACATTCATTAGAGCCTCTGGGTCCCCTTTGCTGGGAGCAATAGCTAATCAGTACATTGAGTTTAGGGGCACCCCTGGGCACACTTAACCCAGGGCAATGGATAGTTATTGTACTGCACTGCGTGCTGTGCCTATGGGCACACTTAAGTGAGCTGTGCTCAATAGCTGCTAGCTGGGCACCGGCTCTGTGTACACCCCTGGGCACACTGAGCCATCAGCAGGGGAGAGCCAGGGTATTAAAGAGCTCTGTGCCAAGTGCCCACTGCTGCATTTAACCAAGGGCAGTGCTGGCGTAACTGGCTTAATTAAAACTTAATGCAGGTTCAAAGGGTAGTCGAGAAAACGGGTTGCAGAAATTGTGGAGAATGAATCAATCGATTAGGTGAGGCGTTGAGGAAGAGGAAGCGTGGTAAGAGGAAAGGGCCCGGAGATGGGAGGGGGGTGGGAGGCTCTAATCTGTCACCGTCTTTTAGGGAGGCCGTGTGGCGAGCTGGCAGAAATTGCTAGCTTTAGAGCCAAAGGACCTGGGTTTGATCCCCAGCCCTGCTAGTGACCAGATCTTAGACAAGTCACTTCTGAGCCTCAGTCTCTCCATCTGCAAAATGGGGGGTTTTGGATTAGATGGCCTCTGAGGTCTCTTCAGCTCCAAATCTATGATTCTTTCATCCTCACGCTGGTTTCAAAGAAAGTCATTTCTCTTCTTGGAGTTTGTGGTGAAGCGGACTTGTTCAGTTGTGTCCGACTCTTCATGACCCCGTTTGAGGTTTTCTTGGCAGAGATACTGCAGTGGTTTGCCACTTCCTTCTCCGGCTCATTTTACAGATGAGGAAACTGAGGCAAACAGGGTGAAGTGACTTGCCCAGGGTCACACAGCTAGTGAGTGTCTGAGGCCAGATTTGTGAGTCTTCCTGATCCCAAGTCCAAGGCACAACCTAGCTGCCCCGGTAAAGCAGACAGTGCACTGGATTTGGGGTCAGAGGATGTGGCGTGTGCACCCCAGCTCTACCCCTTACTCTCTGTGGGATCTCAGACCAATCTTGCCACAGCTACTGGAAAGAGTGTGTCTCTCCTGGGGCGCCACTCACTATCCCTGTTACTTTCCAAAGCAAAATACGGCCCCCTCCGCTGGCCACCAAGCCCCACATAGGTTTTCCCCATTAGAATATAAGCTCCCTGAGGACAGGGACTGTTTTGCTTTTTGCATTTGTATCCCCAACACTTAGCACAGTGTGTGGCACACAGCAGGTACCTAATAAATGCTCTTCCATTCATTATCGCCTCTCAGGGCCTCAGTTTCCCCATCTATAAAATGAAGGATTTAGACTAGATGATCTCTAAGGCCCCTTCCAGCTTTAAATGTGTGATTCAGTCATTCCCCTTTATGTAAAATCAGGCAGATGGGTGCGGCAGTGGATACAGCACTGGGCCTTGAGTCAGGAAGACCTGAGTTCAAATCCAGCCTCGGACGCTTACTAGCTGTGTGACCCTGGGCAAGTCACTTAACCTGAGTTTGCCTTAATCCACTAGAGAAGGAAGTGGCCAACCACTCCAGTATCTTTGCCAAGAAAATCCCCACGGATAGCATTGGTGTGCTACGGTCCATGGGGTCACAAAGAGTCGGACATGACTGAACAACAAATATGAAATCAGGTGATCGCCCTCTTAGGGGTGCAAGAGGTATTACCTACGATAGATTATAAACTCCTCGAGCACAGGGCCTGCATTGTTTTTGACTGTGTATCTCAAGTACAGAGCGCTTAGCACATAGCAGGTACCTTATGTTGAACTGAACCAGGTTTAGAAAGTGCTTTGGGATTGTTCTAGTCCTGCTCTTCTGGGGTAGCAGGTCTCCTAGGTGAGTTGTTAATGGACCACACTGGTCACAGGTTGGTGGCAGCCACACTTGCAGGCCTGACACCAGGAATAACCAGCCTCTGCAGGCTTGGGCTTACAAAAGTAAACCTATTGGGCTGGGATTCCCCTGGGTGAGACATCCCTGTCATGGGGAAGCGGCGAGGCTCTTGGTGCAGTGCCCCTGGAGAAGGGGGTGGCTGCAGAAAGCCCTGGCCTCTACCTACTCGGTCTGCCTCCATGGGCATGGATGTGGAAGGGGCCAGACTGTGCAAAAAGCCAGCTTTTCTCCCTGGACCTCGTGGAGTGTGAATTACCATTTCCAGTGAGCAGGAGGTTCTGAAACAGCAAACATGTAACCCGTCCTGGGATCGCTTTACCTGAATGGTGTCTGGTCCACAAAGGACGCTTTCTTGGCTCAGTCTGGAAGTTGTCACTGGACACTTCAGGATGTAACGGTCACTTTGTCCAAAACTTTTTATGCCTTCCTGAAGTATCCTGATTTCCAGGAGGTAGTTTGCTCTCTGTAAGTGGATTTGTTCATGAAAATAGAAGAGGAAAATACAGTGAACAAGGAGCCAGACCTGGACTCCAAGTCGAGAAGTCCTGAAATCAGTTCCTGTGTCAGATACTTTCTAGCTGTGTGACCCTGGACAAGTTACTTCACTGCAGTCTGCCTCAGTTTCCTCATCTGTAAAATGGGGTAAATTGTAGCACTTACCTCACAGTAACAAGATAGCATATGGCAAGTGCTTTGCAAACTTTAAAATGCTACATAAATGCTAAGTATTATTAAAACGGAGGCAGCTAGGTGGCACAGTGGATAGAGGGCTGGGTCCGGAATCAGGAAGACTTAAGCTCAAATCTGGCCTCAGACACTTACTAGCTGTGTGACCCTGGGCAAGTCACTTCACTGCAGTCTGCCTCAGTTTCCTCATCTGTAAAATGGGGTAAATAGTAGCACTTACTTCACAGGTAACGAGATAGCATATGGCAAGTGCTTTGTAAACTTTAAAATGTTACATAAATGCTAAGCATTATTAATATGGAGGCAGGTAGGTGGTGCAGTGGGCCTGGAATCAGAAAGACTCCTTTTTGTGAGTTCAAATCTGGCCTCAGACACTTACTAGCTATGTGACCCTGGGCAAATCACTTTACCTTCTTTGCCTCAGTTTCCTCATCTGTAAAATGAGCTGGAAAAGGAAATGGCAAAGCACTCCAGTATCTCTGCCAAGAAAACCCCAAATGGGGAAACTGTGTTGTCTCCAGTGTTTGTGTTCCAGTGGGTGCCTCGTTTTGTGTATGGTGTTTTTCTTCTACTACAAACGAGAGCACTGAGCATACTGTTTCTCTAGATAACAATGAATAAATTTTAAATCTGATCAGATGCTGAAAAATTGAAGTGCCATTCCACTTCAGTTTTTTTTTTTTGGTTTTGCTTTTAGGCAATTGGGGTTAAGTGACTTGCCCAGGGTCACACAGCTAGTAAGTGTCAAGTGTTTGGTCTACGGCCGGAATTGAACTCAGGTCCTCCTGACTTCAGGGCTGGTGCTGTATCCACTGCGCCACCTAGCTGCCCCACCATTTCAGTTTTTTCAAAGATCTATAAAGAAGTTGGTTGAAAATATCTGAATTAAAATCTGCCTATGTTTAAAAAAAAGAAAAAGAAAACCCCAAATTGGGTCACAAAGAATTGCACACAACTGAAAACAACCGAACAACACAACAACAATTATTAACGCAAGTCAGGAACAATTCCCAGATTATAATTTGCACATTCTTACATTTCTTCAGTGCAGGGGGATTTGCACAAGAACAGTCATTCATGGGATCATAGACCTAGAACTTCCAGAGACCTCAGAAGTCATCTGTTCCAACCCTCTTCTTTTAGAGATGATGAAACCAATGGCCATGGAGGTAAAATGACTTGCCCAGGGCCACATAGCTAATAATTATCAGAAGCGGGATTTGAACCCAGGTCTTCCTGATTCCAAGATTAGTACCCTATCCACTATGCTATGCTGCCTCTCTTTATTTATTTGGCATGCATTTATTAATCACCTACTACAGGCTGGTTACTAAGTATATACAAGGACAAAAATGAATCAGTCCCTGCCCTAAAGAGCTTACATTTTATTGGGGGTAAACAATACGTACACAGAAAAGTAAAAAGAAAATTTATTCAAAGTAGATACAACAGAACTTAGGGTGGCAGGCAGTAGCAAATGAGGGAATCAAGACAGACCTCCTGTAGGAGGTGGCCTTTGGGCAGGGCCTTGAAGCAAGCCAGTTTCTACCATCCAGAAGTAAGGAGGGGAATGTATTCCAGGCATGTTGTTGTTTAGTGATTTTCAATTGTGTCTGACTCTCCGTGACCCCGTTTGGGGTTTTCTTGGCAGGGATATTGGAGTGGTTCGCCACTTCCTTCTCCAGCTCATTTTACAGATGAGGAAACTGAGGCAAACAGGGTAAAGTGACTTGCCCAGGGTCACACAGCTAATAAGTGTCTGAGGCTGGATTTGAACTCAGGAAGATGAGTCTTCCTGCCTCTAGGCCCAGCACTCTGTGCACGATGGCACCCCCTAACTGCCCCATTCCTAGCGCAGCGGACAGAACACCATATATGGACAACAGCAAGTCAGTCAATTGATGAGCTTCTGTTCCGCCTTTCGCCTCTGGTACTTTGCAAAGCATTTCTTTGCTTTTGTGTCTCAGAGTGGAAGTTTCTCAAGAAGCAGTGGACCACTCTTCCCACATTTTATATAAAAGCCATGGAGCACTAAGATATATTGAACAACAATATTACAGTACTGAGGGAGAAGAAAGACCCACCTCTTGCTGCACAAAGCAGGCTGTGTAGCGCGCTTGGAAGATATGATTGCCAGCTGAGTCCGGGTACAGGAAATAACCACACCTGGCCAGGAAAGAATTCAGCCTTTCCACGGACCCCCAGTTCACTAGCAAAGGAGGAGGGCAGACCTGGATTAAAACATTGCCTCTGCTACTTACGGCCTGTATGACCTTGGGCAAGTCACTCTCTGGGTCTTGTTCCTTTTGTCACAAATGGTTGTTGGGGTAGGAGTTGGGCTATGTGGCTTATAAGGTCTCTTTATGGCTCTAAATTTATGTTTCCATGATCCTAAATATGAGAGAGCTCTTTGTCTTAACAAGAGGCAGCATGGTGTAGTAGAGAGAACACTGGGCTTTGAGTCAGGAAGGCCTGGATCTGAATCCCACTTCGGTCAGTTTAGCTGGGTGACTCTGGGGTTCTCTGTTTCCTTCTCCGCAAAATTAGGGAGTCAGACTCAGTGAGCTCAAAGGTCCCTTTTGCTCTAATTTTATGATCCTATGATTTACCTGGATTAGGACAACAAAGTATCAGTAAGGAGCTCCTGAGACTTCCAGATGATTTAGAACTTGCCTCTTTCTTTCTTTCTTCTTTCTTTTCTTTCTTTCTTTCTTTCTTTCTTTCTTTCTTTCTTTCTTTCTTTCTTTCTTCCTTCTCTCTTTCTTTTTTCTTCCTTCCTTCCTTCTTTCCTTCTTTTTCTTTTTTCTTCCTTCCTTTCTTTTCTTTTTTCTTTTTAACATTTTGATAAGTGTTATTTCAGTATAGTAGGTTTCCTTTGCAATCCTACTACTTTATTTTATGTATTTAACAGTTCGTGAAAGGGTCTATAGCCTTCCCTATACTTCCAAAGGGTTCCCTGACATACAAAAAGTTTAGGGACTCCTGATTCAGAGGTGCCTGAGGGCGTGGGGCTAGATGACCTCTGAAGTCCCCTTCAGTTCTCATACATTGTTGCATTAAATGCCTTTGCTTTGAACTTAGTATGTCTTCTGGATGACTAGTAAAAATAACCACATCAGTGGGGGCTCAATGGCTCTGACTTGGAAGGGGATTCTGACCCACAAGGAACCTAGTCCTGGGGTAGCTTTTGGGGGGCCCATAAATGAGGGGCACCCATATACTATATCATGGAGGTTACTGAAGTATTTTGGAGAATTATTCCTAAGAACTTTATGTGGAAGGAAACCCTGATAAGCTACCATCTTTCCTAAAGCACACGTTAGAACAAGATCAGTGGCGTGCCTTTGGCAAAGGAGAGGATATGAAAGGCACAACCTCACTGGGGAAATAAAGTGTCTAGGTCTAGATGTGCAAATTGACCTGGCACATTTTTGTTTTGCCTTCAGGTTTGCACTTTGTAAATATTTGCCTGGCTCCATGCTGTTTGCACCTGCCTGCTGTCCTCTTAAGTTTATGGAAGACAGCAGGCAGCATCATTTCCTTGATCCCACCTGGTGGTGCTGGGGCCTCGGCTTGAAACGAAAAGTATCTCGTGAAAGCTACAGGTGTCCCTGACAGGGCCTAAAACTAATGGTCTGTGGCTGGCCACTGCAACTAATTCTCTGATTATTGACTTTATGATTTTACGCTTAAAACTTCTTTATAATAACACAGAAATGTTTAATGGCCTCTATCCGGGGCCATAAAAATTACTTATTGAACAAGCGTTTAAGAACTATTAATCTATTGTTTTCCATTAATAATGGCCCACTGAAATCCAGGCGACAGCTTAATGTATCCAGAAGGTTTCTTCTTGGAAAGTGGCTTTTTAACACACAAAGCCAGAGCCTTCAAACATGGCTGCTGACCTTCTCACCCAAGAAGTGGCTGCCTGACTCCTCCAGGCCCTTTTGGACCTTTGATGAAAAGTCAGAAGGCTAACAGGTTTTCTATATCTCAAAAGAGACGACCCATGGGGGCGGCTAGGTGGTGCAGTGGATAGAGCTCCGGTCTTGGAGTCAGGAGGACCTAAGTTCAAATCTGGCCTCATACACTTCATACTTACTAGCTGTGTGACCCTGGGCAAGCCACTTAACCCCAATTGCCTCACCAAAAAAAAAAAAAAGAGTTCTAGATTGGGGGAGAAGGAAAAGCTGGGTTCAGATCTGCCCCTGAGAGTAGCTGTGTGACAATGGCATGTCATCTAACTTCTCTGCACCTCAGATTCCTCATCTGTAAAATGGAGGTGAAAATACCTGTAATAATCACCATCCAGGATGAGTGTGAGACTGGTAGACGTCTGAGAAGAGCTGTATAAACCTCAAAGTACCACAGCAACATCAGAGATAACTCTTCTTGATCCTCTCAGGTAACAATGCCTTCTTTTTTATTACAAATTTTATTACAAATTTTTTATTACAAATTTATCACATTATTTTATTACAAATTTTAATTGTTTCTTTCTGTTTACATTATTGTCAATTCTCCCCACCCTCATAAAATCCTCTCTCGTATCAACAAAATGCATCCAAACAAAATGAATGAACCCAATGTCCACGGGGGAAAATGTATGCCTCGCTATGCACCTGTAGGGCACCACCTTTTTTGCCTAGAAATGAAAGACGTCCTTCCCCATCAACCCTCTGACATCAGAAGTGGTAACAGTCTCCCCCCTTACCTGGTACATGCAGGGTTCTGCCCAGCCATTGCTTGAGCCCATGAACGTGGCCCTTAGGGATCTGTAGAGCCATGTAATCTGAGAAGCACTCAATGTCATCTATAGAAGGCAAAAACATTCAGCAGAGAAAAGAGCTTCGTGGGGCTGAGCACTAGCCAGGGAGTGGTGAGATACTCAATTCCTGTCTATCCAGAAGGGCTGGTGACTAAGAGATATCACATACACCATAGATCATAGACCACAGAATTTCAGAGCTGATGGAGAACTTGGAGTCCGGAATCTGGACAGAAGAAAGAAGCTAAATCCCCTCATTCACTTGCCCTAGGTCATGGCAGTGCTGGATTTCGTGAGAAATGACCTGGGTTCAAATCCTGTTCTTTCCAGCTGTCCCCTTCCTGGGACTCAGATTCCTTTTCCAGATTCCTAGTCCAGTGCCCCTTTGATCATCAGACTCTCAGATGTCTTCCTCTTCCTTATACACAGCACTCCATTTCCCACTTCTGTGACTTTGCACGGACTGTGCCCCATGCCCAGAATGCCCTCCCTCCTCACCTCTGCCTCTTGAACTCCCAAATTTCCCTTAACTCATCTCCTGCATGAAACCTTTGCTGATCTGCTCAGTTTGGTTGCTAGTGCCCCTCCCCCAACCTGTCTCACCTTGTATATATTGGATTGATTTTTCATGTACCTATAATAAATGCACCTCTTGTCTCCCCTGATAGAATGTAAGCCCCTTGAGGACAGGGTCTAATTTTCTTTTGTCTTTGTACCCCCAGTGCCTACCTAGCACAGGGCTATACTTGTTAAGTGTTGGATTTTGATTAATTCAAAGAAGTAGAATACAACAAGAAGCATTCAGCGCAGGCTGAATGTAATTTAATTTTTCAATGGATGATTCAGAAGGCTCATCAGGATCTCCCCGGGTCTCGTGAGCATCTTTCTGAACATGGATTCATACTGTCCAGATGGAGGAGGTGGAAGGGGTTGGGGTCTCTCTTTTCTGACCCTTTGGACACTACCTTTTAAAAATCCCTGATATTAACTTGTTCACTTATCAGTGGATGCTTAGAACAAACTTCCTTTCTTTTTGAAGCTGTCCAGTGGCTTGGAGTGACAGTAATATTTAACACCTACATAAGTGACTTCAGGTTGGCAAAGCACTTTGCTTATATTTATCATCTGAGCCTCAAGATAGCCCAGTGAGGTCAGTTCTCGGGTGTTATTAGCCCATTTCTCAGAGGTGAAGTGACTTACCCAGAGTCACACAGCTAGTAAATGTGAGAGATGGGATTTGAATCCGGGTCTTCCTGACTCCTAGTCCTGGACACCATTTGCTATGGCATGCTAGATCTCAACACCAAACAAGGTAACTTGCCAAATAGGAGACTAGGGGGAGAGCCTTTGTTCTATCTGATACGAAACAGCATAGTAGAAAGAAAGGAGTGCTGGGCTTGAAGTCAGAGAAAGAGCTGGGTTCAAGTCCCAACTCTTTGTGAGCCTCAGTTTCCTCATCTGTAAAATGGAGATAATAACACCCATAGTACACATCTCATAGAGTTGTTGTGAAGATTGAATGGGACAATGTATGTAAAGTGCTTTGAAAATATTAAAGTGCAATGTTAATGTCAGATATTATGTCTGTAGTGCTTTACAGATATCTCTAACTCTGGGAAGTAGGTGCTCTTATCACCCCCATTTTAGAGATTAGAAAACTGAGGCAGAGAGTAGCTAAGTGACTTGGCCAGGGTCACATAACTAGTAAGTGACTGAGGCTAGAGTTGAACTCGGGTCTTTCCTGACTCCAGGTCTATCACTCTGGCTCTATCACTGATTGCCCATGTGACCTTGGGCACAGTTGTTTAACCTCTCTCTCTAGACTTTGGTGTCCTCCCCATGTAAAGTGACAAGGTGGGATGAGATGATTTCCGGAGTCCCCTTGAGGGCTGTGATTCTATGAAATATGCATTTACATAATCCCTTCTCTGAGAAAGGTTTGGCAAATGAAATGGGAGTGCTTTCTTGTTAATGAGAGGTCTGTGATGGAAACAGTCAATAAAAGTCAAATATATCATAGGTTTGGAGCTGGAAAGGACCTTGGAGGTCGCCTAGACAAACCCCTTCATTTTATCAAGGATGAGACTGAGGAGGAGAGGAGCGGGCCAGTGACTTCCCTAGGTCACCTAAGTAATAAGTGTTAGAGATGGGATTCAGACCCAGGGCCTCTGACTCCAAATAATAGGATCAGGAATTCAGAGCTCAGAGGGACCTTAGAATCTATCTATTCCAATCTTTCCATTTTACAGATTAGGAACTGAGACAACTAGATTTGAACCCAGGTCCTGTGACTGCCTCATAAAATAAAATGAAGGGGTCAGATAAGATGATCTCTAAGGATCCCTACAGACTTCCGAGTCATATGATCAACAAGATGAAAGATTAGACATTTTCTTCAAGCCTTCTGTTGCACAGTTGTTTTCCAGCTGTGTCTGACTCTGTGACACCATTTGGGGTTTTCTTGGCAGAGATACCCGAGCGATTTGCCATTTCCTTCTCCAGCTCATTTTACAGATGAGGAAAATGAGGCAAACAGGGTGAAGTGACTTGCCCAGGGTCACACAGATAGTAAATGCCTGAGGTTGGACTTGAATTCAGGTCTTCCTGACCCCAGGCCAGGCACTCTTTCACCTAGCTGCCCCTTTTCAAGCCTCAACCGCCCCAGAGTAGAATTAGATACCAGCGATAAAGCAATTGCAGCTGCATCTAAAGACCCTCTCAGTTCTAAAGCCCTGGGATTCCCCAAAATGGCCAGACATGGCCTTCCTTAGAAGGCCCTCCAGCATAATACTTTAGGATCTTTACCCTGCTCAGCAAAGGATTCTCCTGGAGGTCAGCGGCTACCGTGGCCTCCCAAGATGTCAAAAGGCTGATTTACTTACCTGTTGAGATTTCACCCATTTGGTCTGGCCTGTCCTCCTCTGACTTGAAAGGGAAAGCCCCTGGGAGTGCACATGTCAGACAGATGACCCTGCAAGGGAGGGAGAAAAGGGAAGGAGGCTTGGGTTCAGTGCACAGCTACGTGGGGCACCTGGCACCAGCCACCTGAGGTCATTGCTGGTTAGCAGAAAATTTCTGAGATGCCAGACTGCTGGATAGGGTCATATGATTATAGAATGAGGGCTGGGAAGGAGCTCAGAGGCCACAGGTCCGGCCGCTTTTTTTTTACAGATGAGGAAATGGAGGCATCAAGCGACTAAGTGACTTCCCTGAGAGCATATGGGTAGGAAACAGCACAGCTGAAATTTGAGGCCAAAGCTTCTGGTTACAGATCTAGGCTCACCACCACACTGCCTCCCAGGGATTCATTCCACTTTGCAGGAGGATGTGATGCAATGCTGAAACACAGGGCACTGAGGGCCCCCTCCAGCACACTCTCCGATTGACTGGACAGCTCCCACAGGCTAAAGAAGGGCAGGGGCAGGACATGTACAAGGCAGCTCCAGTTTCCTGCCCAGTGGGGCAGAGAGGAGGGTATGGCCCGGCCAAGAAGGAAGTGCCCACTTACCTGGATGGAGGATCTAGGCTCAGCCCCCAGCGTGGCCAACCAGCTCACTGGTCTTCATCATTTCATATTTCCCTTGGACCTTATAGTTATAACTAGCCATTTTTTTGTACCCAGGGCAAGCAGTCCAGAAATAGCTTTCAAATCAACTTAAAGATAAGTACAGTGGAGGGAGAGGAGAGATCCCAGGAGTATATCTCAATGCTGGGCCAGAGGGAAGCTTAAGTGTGTTGCTCTCTTAGAGGGGAAGCAAGAGGAGAAGGGAGGAAGTGGGCTAAGAACTAGATACTTATTATTTTAGTCATTTCTACATTGCTGCACTCCTGAAAATGTGGCCAGTGCCCTCTAAATTTCAGAAGCCTGGAAACAAACCCCCATTGCCCCACCCTAGTTACATCTCCACTGGTTTTAGATGGCCCACAGCATCCATATGCATGGCCTTGCTGCTCTGCAGAGACCTAGCAGGAACTGAACAGTCTCAGGACATAAGGTAGAAATCACTACCAGCCAGGAAAGTAATGCAGCAGTTGTCAAGTCAGCCAAACCTTTACCTAATGATGTCCCACAGCTATCATCCGACTCATTTACGGGGCACACAAAAACCCATCCCAAGCCAGAGGAACTGGCCAGGACAAGAGGAGAGAGCACCACACCGTTTAGGCTTTCTATTCTATTTCAGTGGAAGGAAACAATGAGCTTTCTCCTAATATGCCCTCCTACCTTGGCCACCCCATTAGTCAGAGGCCCGGAACCCTCTGCCTTCATTCAGCACCCAGCGGGAGAAAAGGTTATTATTTGATTAATTCACAAAACAAAGACCTGGCCAGTGCAACTGGACTTGAAAGAAGGTTCTCTGAGGGAGAGTAAATCTGAAGCTAGAGAGGAGAATTAACTAAGGAAAAGGGGAAGGTGGGGAGGCTGATGCTAGCACCGGGTCCCAATGGGGGTAAGCCTTTTTCCTACCGTTACATTCAATTCAGATTAAACAAAACCAGATAGGGATACTCCCCTGCCCCCCTTGTGTCCCCGGTTATAAACCCCACCTAAAAAAATCCTTTAAATGAAAGCAATAATAAAGTGCTGGCTAGGACAACGGTCTCTTTCTTTTTGTTAGTGTTAAAATCCCTGGGAAAGGACAAACTATGTTTATTTGCAGACTCGGTGAAATTCAAACATGCCTTGTTACACCTGACACCTTGAAGAATGTCTCACAGATTCACTGAATCTCAAGGTTGAAAGAGACTCCAGGGGTCATCTAACCCAACCCATAATGAATAAGAATTCCATTTACATTTCCACCGAGTGGTCACCTAGTCTTTGGAGGTCTCTAGCAGCGGGGAACTCATTACCTCCCAAGGCAACTCGTTCCGCTTGAGGATAGCTCTTATTGCTAGGACAATTCTTCCTTATATCAGGCCAAGATCCAGCTCTCCATCCCCCTGTAGCTCCTGGTTCTGCTATGTGGGGTCTAACAGAACAAATCCAATAATCCTTGTTCCACATGACAGCCTTTCAAATATTTGAAAACAATGGCCCCACCCAAGTCTTCACCATATTAAAGACCCCCAGCTCCTTCAGATGATTCCCCATGAGGCATGATGTCCAGGCCATTTGCCATCCAGTCAACCTCCTCTGGGTTCCCTCCAGCTTATTAATGTCCTTACTAAGATGTCCACAACTGAAAGCCATATCCCAGATGGTGTCTGACCAGGGTAGAACGCAGCAAGGCTCTCACTTCTCTAGTCCTAGACCAGGGGTGGGGAACCTGCAGCCTCGAGACCCCATGTGGCCCTCTAGGTCCTCAAGTGTGGCTATTTGACTGAGTCCAAGGTTCACAGAACAAATCCTTTTATTAAGGGATTTTATTAAGGGATATCATTGTCCTAGACACTCAGCCCAAGATTGCATTAGTTTTTTGACCAACAAAGCATTTTCCTGAAGAACAGGCTATTTTTCCTTAAAGAGCTGGACATGATCGAAATGACAGAACCCCCAAGAATTTCAGAACACTTCATGAATAAACACAGTTCTGGTAATTTGACAAAGGAAACAGCTGCGTCACATAGTGATAGGGAGTGAATAAGTCATCATTACTAAAGCAGAGAATCTGGAAGCTAGGCCCCAGGTCTATTTTCCAACCACAGAATTGTGAAGTCTTCTGAGAATAAATATGAGGGACCCATGGCCCAAGGATCCTGATGCTGGGCTCAGATGGACCAGGTTCCATCTTGGGAACTACTCTAAAAGAACATTCTCTCTTTGGCAAAAGCTTGCCCCCACTCAAGAACTTAAGTACAACTTGTATCTAGGTTTCCACACTTGTGAATAACAGGGTCTCCAGGTCCTATACAAGTACTTAAGTTAACAGATGGTATCAGGTATAGGACAGTTTTTCTATCATATGAAACATGGACACTATCCAACTGACACATGGTCAGATCATCTCAGTCTCAGTCAAACCGTTTCTACAGCTTCTAATTTAACATCATTTCCTTCAAACACAATTTCCTTCTCTCTGACTTGGTGTTGAAAGATTCAGATCTCCTGTTAAATCTTGGCCTTTCCAAAGTGTTGTCAGCAAGTTCCAAAGGACTCGTAATGAAAAATGCTATCCACCTCCAGAGAGAGAACTGATGAACTCTGAGTGTAAAACAAAGCATAATTTTCTCACTGTCTTCATTTTTCTTGCTTTTTTGTGATACAGAATGATTTCCCATGTATAGTTGATCACCTTCTCAGTGGGTGGGGGAGGCACAGGATGAAAGGGGAGAATTTGGAACTCAACATTTTAAAAAATGTTAGCAAATAATAAATATTTTTTAAAATTTTAAAAAAAAGTCTTCCCATGTTTCCGTTCAAATGCCACTACCTCTATGAAGCCTTCTCTAATTTCCCCAGGTGAAAGTCTTCTCCCTCTTCCAATTTTCTGACAGCATTTTGTCTGCATCTTTCTCCCTCACCCTCACCATTCCCTATTTTGCATTATACTTACCTATGTACCGGTGACATTATCACCACCAATAGAATGTCATTTTTTATTATTGTACCCCCAGCACTTGTATTGGATTTATGGGAGGACATGGATGAGAATTAGGTGGGTGAGCACGAACGAATTGCAATCTGTATGATTGGAGGGAACATCCATAATGATCTCAGACCCACTGGAAATCTAGAGTGACCCCATCACTTAATACACAATCTTGCTGCATAGTAACTGGTACTTAACAGAAGTTCATTAAATCTTTGCGGAAGCTCTTAGAAATGGACTAGCCATCCTCCTGAACACAGGCTAGTAGGGTTGTCTTAGCATCCTAAGGCTGTATTTTCCATCCTCTTTTGTCACTAAGTCAGGGGACACTCACCAGACAGTAGCTGAGGGGCCCTTCATCCTCATCCCTCTGCTGGTTCTTCTCTTGCCCATTCTAAGCTCAGTAAGAGAATTTATCCAGTTGCCATGGGTAGAAACAACAGCCTAAATGAAAACTCAATGCCTCTCTCCTCACCCCTTACCTTACATTTGCAAATCCTTCCCAGGTGGGAAAATCCTAAGTTCAAAATGTCACCTAGGTGTTAGAAAACACAGGAGAGAGAGAGACAGAGAGAGAGAGAGAGAGAGACAGAGAGAGAGAGAGAGAGAGAGAGAGAGAGAGAGAGAGAGAGAGAGAGAGACAGACAGACAGACAGACAGACAGACAGACAGACAGACAGAGACAGAGACAGAGAGAGAAACCAATTCCACTTTGGTGAGACTGTCTGCTTTAGCTTCAAGGGAACTTGAAATAATAATAATGAGGAAGATGATAATAAAGTAATTCCTCAGAGCTCTTACCTCTGAATTGTTCCACACTTACTCGGCAAAAGTTTAAGAATCACTAACCAAGAAGCTAAAAGTGACCTGGGTGGCCATCTTGTAGATGAAGGGATCCATAGACCTGTAGGCCCATTTCCAGGGGGAGGAAAAAACAGGGGTCTATGAACTTGGATGGGGAAAAAAACGACATCTTTATAACTGGTTCCCTTTATAATCCGCTGTATTTTATTTTATGCATTTAAAAACATGATTGCAAGGAATCCATAGGCTTCATTAGACTACCCAAGAGGTCTATGGCACAGACCAGACTCACAACCCTAGACTAGACTGACCCCTACCTGAACAAAGGTCCTCGCTACATCACTGCCAATAAGAGGTTGTCCAGCCTTTTTGTGAAGACCTTGAAAGACCAGGAACCCTCTTCCTCCCAAGGCAGTCTATTCCACTCTGGGTTACCTCCAATTGTTAGAAATTCCCTTGTATCCAGACAAAATTTCTCTCTTTGCAGCGCTGAACAGAATAGCGATTACCTGTTGTCATACTCAAGTTATAATATCAATAGGCAAATGGCACCACTGTCCAGCAAGCCTATCAACACTCTCCTCTACAAAGGTAGTGTGGTGTAATAGCAAGAGCCCTAGGCATATTGTCAGAAGAGACTTAGGTTCAAATCCTACCTCAATTCAATTCGATAAACATTTGTTAAGATGCCAGTTTGGCTCTAGAGCAAAGGCTGCTAGTTATTTTTTTGGTCTCAAGACCCCTTTACCCTCCTAAAAATTATGGAGGACCCCAAAGAAATTTTGTTTATGTGGGTCACATCTATGTTTACCATATTAGAAATGAAACATGGGGCAACTAGGTGGTGCGGTGGGTAGAGCGCCAGCCCTGGAGTCAAGAGTTCAAATCAGGCCTCAGACATATAACACTTACTAGCTTTGTGACTCTGGGCAGGTCACTTAACCCCAATTGCCTCACCCAAAAAAAAGAAAAAAAAAGAAAAGAAAGAAAACATAAAATTTCAAAATAGTTATTTATTCATTTTAGAACAATTATAAACCTATTACATGTTAACATAAAAAACATTCTTATGAAAAACTATATTTTCCAAAACAAAAACAACTTGGTGAGAAGAATGGCATTGTTTTACATATTTTTGCAAATGTTTTTATCTTTTTGCTTTGCTGTTCAGTCATGTTTGACTCTTTGTGACCCCATTTGGGTTTTTTTGGCAAAGATACTGGAGTGCTTTGCCATTTCCCTCTCCAGCTCATTTTACAGATGAGGAAACTAAGGCAAAAAGGGTTAAGTGACTTGCCCAGGGTCACACAGCCAGTAAGTGTCTGAGGCCAGATCTGAACTCAGATCTTCCTGCCTCCAGGCCTGGCTCTCTATCTACTGCATCACCTAGCTGCCCAGACTCAAGAGGACGTACATAACTTACACCAGTAAAACAGCACCCATGACACTCTTATTACACTAATAACCAAAGACAAGAAAATAAAACAACTTTGAGATACCCCCTCACACCTATCAAATTGATAAATGAAAGTCAGTGCTGTGGCAGAGGCAGGCTGTAGAGAAACAGGTATACTCATTCATTGTTGGTGGAATTGCAAACTCATATAACTTTTTTAGGTCATTCTGGCGGCATGCAATGAAAGCTACAAAAATAATCATACCCTTTGACTCAGTAATTCTATTGTTGGACAATACCTTCAGGAGAATTTTCAAAAACAAAAGGGCTATTTAAAAATTTTTCATAGAAGCACCATATGTCATTGTGAAAGACACAAATAGAAGCATACTAAATGTCCAACGATAAGGAAATGGTTAAATAGATTATGGCCCATTAATGCACTGGCAGTGAAGACCCACGAGTATCAGAAATGCAGAAAATACAGAAAGAACTCTATGAAATGATGCAAATCAAAAAAAGGCAAAACCAGAAGAACAGGGCAGAGGCATACTGATTGGGAGCACATAAGGGAAGGAAAGAATGAATAAACAACGGCTCATGACGCGATCAGTTGGCAACAAACGTTTATTAAGCACCTACTGTGTGCCATTCTACCAAGCATTAGGGACGCAAAAAGGGGCAGAAGACAGGAGCTCACAGTCTAATGGGAGAGATAACAAGCAAGCAAGTATATACAAACAAGCTGTCTTCAGGATAGATGGGAAATAATTACGAGAGGGAAGGGACTAAAATTAGGAGAAGTTGGGGAAGGCTTCCTGTAGGAGGTGGGGTATTAGCTGGGACTTAAAGGAAGCCAGGGAGGTCAGTAGGGCAGAGATGAGGAGGGAGAGCCTTCCAGGCCTGGGGGAGAGGCAGAGAGAAGGCCTGGAGGAGAGAGGAGGAGGGTCTTGTTTGTGGAACAGCCAGGAGGCCTGAACATCAGAGGATCCTGTATTTGGTCCCGGGGGTAATAGAGAGCCACTGAAGAATATGGAATAGGAGGGTGACGTGTCAGACCCGCCATTTACTAAAATCACTTTGGTGGCTGAATGGAAAATGGACCAGAGTGGGGACGGACTTGAAGCAGGCAGACCCAGACTTGTAGTGACTGAAAAGTTACGACATGTTCTGTGTCGACATTGATTTAAATGTACAGTTACAAAGCAAGTTTAACTAGTAGTATTGAAATTTAATAATCTTTTATAAAAAGATTAGGGAGTCTTCAGCATCTCCTTTACTTTCCTCTCCCACAGACTAAGATGCAACGAATTCAGGCACTCACTTTGTTTGTGGGTTGGTTTTTTTTGTTTTTGTTTTCACTTGGAATGGTCACCAGGCACATTCAGGCTTTGGAGGTCTCCCCTCACCTTTGCTTAGAGCTCTGGGTCTCCCTAATGCCCTAATGCCAGTGAGTTCTTCCCTCTATCCCCCTTCTCCCAGGCAACCCTCACACATTTACCAGTTTACTAGGAAATGCCAGCCAAGACTGGGTGTGACATTTAAGGATTCCAGTGAGGCCTGGTGGTCACGAATCACCAGGGCATGTCAGATGTGAGGCCCCCTGCCCGGCCAGAAAGAAGCAAATAGGACAGTGATTCTTGGCTGGCTGAGAGCTCAGAGGGGCTCCTTAGGAATCCTTGAGCCCTGGAGTTCTTAAAAGGGCCACGGGACATTTCACCCCTTCCCACAAAGCCTCACACGGGAATGCTAAGGTTACCCACCCCTGCTCCAATGTCCCTAAACCTCAAGAGAGAAAGAAAATGGACAAGAAATGGACAAGGCAGGTTTTCTAGTCCCAATCCAAACCCCTCATTCTATAGAAGAAAAAACGGAGGCCCAGAGATCAGGGGAGTGACTTGCCCAGTGGGCAGAGGTAAGATTCAAATCCAGGTCCTCTGACTCCAAATCTGCCAAGATTTCCACTGCACCCTGTTACCTCCCCTAATTCACCAGCTCTTCTCCATGGACATTCCCACCCCCAAACTATTTATTTATATGTTCTGCTGCTTTGGAAGCTCGGATCCCCACTGAACTTGTAGAGTCCTTTCGCCTCTCTGAGTTTCTGTTTGCTCATCTATAAAGTGAGGCTAACAATCCCTCTATGGTTTGCATGTAATACAGTATATAAAGTACTTTACAAACCTCTAAAGCACTGTGAAGTATCAGCTTTTGATCACATAGGTGAGCTAGACCTCTCATATTACAGATAGGGAAACTGATCCCTTGCCCAAGACCACACAGCGGAATTTGAACTCAGCTCCTCGGACCCCAGTTCTTGCACATCATCAGGTATAGTCCCCTATTGTGCTCTTAAGTACAGTTTTTGTCTCTTTCTTTTCCTCTGCTTAGTCAAGTTGAAAACTATTTTTCAACTGCTTTTACACAATAGATGTAAGTCACTGGGTGTTGCCTATATATGTATATTAACACACCCACACGGGGTTTTCATCATGGGTTTATTAATACCCTCCCTCTCTTTCAAACAAGAACTTGCAAAATCC